GGATGTAGCTCAGTGGCACAGCGCCTGCCTGGTGTGAGGCCTTCAGTTCAATTCCCGGTACTAAATAAATAAATGGATAGATGGCTGGGATCGTCAGGCTGAGGTTGTAGCAGGAAAGGGGCTTTGGCGCAGCACAAAGTGGGACCCTTTTCCTGGTCCCTGACGCCCGCGTTCACAACCCCACGACAGATCCTCTTACCCCGCAAAGACGCGGGAGAGGCTGGAACCGCCGTCTGCAGCGCCCCTTCGTGGCGATATCTGCGCACTGCAGCCCATCTGTTCCCCGCCGCCAACAGTAATGGAGGCGTCCCCACTCTGCGGCCTTGCGGGACAGAAGTCCTGTGCCGCGGCCAACCGCACTGGCTCCCCTCGGCCCGCAGAGGCCCCCCCCGAAGCCCTCCCGTTGTCGGCGGGCTTTGTCCCTGGCACTCTCTTCCCCACATTTCCCACTATAGTCCGTTGCTCACCGCACTCCAAGATTGAACAGCCGGGTGAGGATGAACGAAGGCGCGATCTGCCAGCCGCAGAAGGGAACAGAGAGTCAAGCGGGTGTTTGAAAGGAAAGAACAGAGCCTCGCAAGATGGCGAGCGCCTGTTAACGCAGTGCTCTGGGAGGCTGAGGCAGGAGCATCTCAAGTCCAGGCTCAGACTGGGCAACCTGGGGAATTAGTAAGACCCTGTCTCAAAAGCGTTTGTCGCCTGCCTGCCGTGTGCCAGGCGCTGGGGCTGCACAGAGGGAGCCCTGCCCCCACGAGAAAGCAGATGGGGGACGGATGAGTGAAGCGCGTTTGTCCCAAACTGCTAACTGCCACAGAAACACAGAGCGGCCCTGGGGACCCAGTGGGTGTGCTTTCAAGTGACTCTTCAGTCGGGTGCCCAGGGAACCCGCATTACAGGAAGGACGGAGCGTGGAGGCTTCTGGGAAAAGCACACCAGGTGGAGGCTGCAGCCTGTGCAGAGGCCCTGGGGCGGGCGGAGGTGTCCGGAGGAGGGACCAGGCCTGGCCGGTGCGGGAGTGACCACTGACAAGGCAGGGTCACCCGTGCCCTTGAGCCAGCCATTCCTGCAGGCAGCACACACGTCTCTGGGACGCGGTGGATTCCACTCTGGAGCAAAAACCTCAGGAAGGAAATCCCGAAGAACCTGTATTTGCATGGGCAGAGCCGGGCGGCACGGGCAGCTGCTCGAACTTCCTCCTCTCCCGACTGGGCTTTCGCTTCCCTGCCAAGGCCCGACCGCAGGTCACGCTGACCTCCGCGCCGGTGGGGGCGACCTGGGCCGCAGCCAGCAGGGTGCCGGGCTGGCTGCCAAGCGCTGAGCGCCACCCCGGCCCTTTCACGTTTTTATTCTGAGACGGGTCTCGCTAAGTTTCCTGGGCTGGGCTGGGCTGGAACTTTCGATCCTCCTCCCTCAGCCCCCCTAAGCAGCGGGGGCGGGGGGGACTCTGTCACCGCGCACGCTGTGTGACTTTACACAAAACCCCACCCTCTCTGGGTCTGGAGGGTGGGAGAAGGTGGGCAAAATCCCTGAGAAAGTCCAAAGGGCTCGTCCGGGTCGGGCTGCGCCAGCTACCCCGGCCGCGGGCCCGGCGGCCTCCTGAGAGACACAGGCTGTGCCTCGCGTCCTGCGGTTTGTAAAGAAGGAGAAACTTCAGTTTCCTTCCTATTTTTCTCTAAGGCTGCTTGGCTCCAAGGGACGCCCCCTGGAGCCCCCCGCCCACCCCTGACTCGGGGCACGGGGGGCTGCTGGGTGAGCATGTGGCCGCCAGGGGGCGCCCGGCAGCAGGGCCGAGATCACCGAGCCTCCCTTTGTTTCTGTTTACGGATTTTGGTTTGGTTTGGTTTGGTTTGGTTTTTGAAGACAAGGTCTGGCTATGTCGCCCAGGCTGGCCTTGAGCTTTCAGCGATCCTCCTGCCTTAGTGCTAGGATTGCAGGCCAGCATCACCACTCTAAACCTCGAGTCCCAACTTAGTTCTTCCTCCCAGAACCGTCCTCTCCTCCCCTCGCACTGATCAAGGGTCCCTTCGGCCCGTGACCCCATCACAGCCCTGATCACCCCTATACCTGCTGAGCGTGGCCCTCTCCTGCACACAGGAGGGGCTCAATAAATCTCAGCGGGGAAAATGAATGAACACCTCGCTGGTGGATGCCTGATGAATGAGGCAGGGACATGTTCCCAGTGGCGGGAATGGGCCTGCACACAGCAGGCGCTCAATAATGGTTGCTCCGAATGGAACTGGAGCCGCCATGGAGCCCAGCCCATCTATTTTATTTATTTATTTATTTATTTATTTATTTATTTATTTATTTATTTATTTATTTATTTGTCTTTTTGAGACAGGGTCTCACAATGCAGTTCAGGCTGGCCTTGAGCTCACTTTGTAGCCCCGGCTGGTCTCGAACTCGCAAGCATCCTCCTGCCTCAGCCTCCCCAGTGATGGGATTACAGGCATGCGCCACCACGCCCGGCTTGATATGCTGATTCTGATTGGTCTTTCCCACCAGGAAGCAGGGGTCAGTGTTGCCAGGTTTCCCGAGGGTAAGCAACATTGCACGAGGTCTCCCATCTGCCCAAAGAGGCTTTACCCAACAGGCCACGCGATCAAGGCTGTCGTGGGCGGAGCGGGTCAGGATAGACCTGTCACCTTTTCAGTACAAGCAGAAGCCATGGCTGCCTGCCAGGTCCCCTCTAAACAACAGTTTGACCTGAAGGGATTGTATATTATACTGGATGAGCCAGGAAAGGGAAATATTAATTGGTGAAAAAGAGAATGCAAGGAAACATTGGACAGTCTGGACAATCTGCCTCTTCCCGGAGTGTGCCTGAGACCTGACACTTGAAGCAGGGTTCCAGTTCCCTGCTTGGCATCATAGCTTAACCTGCAGTTCTTTCTTTCTTTCTTTCTTTCTTTCTTTCTTTCTTTCTTTCTTTCTTTCTTTCTTTTTTGTTGTTGTTGTTGTTGTTGTTTTTCCGGTACCGGGAATCGAACTCACGACCTTGTGCTTTCCAGGCAGGCACTGTGCCACCGAGCTAAATCCCCAGCCCCTAGCCTGCAGTTCTTCAAAGTGCCCAGAGCCCTGTTTCCTGTCACCTGAGGCGGTGAACCACTCTAAGGAAGTCTACAGGAAAGTGAACGTTCAGTTAAAGTTTTTTAAAAGCTGTAAAAACAACAAAAATAATAATGGTTGGTCCCTAGAGCGAGCACTTACTGAGCACCGACCACAGCCCTGGCTCCTATGGGGCTCTGAGATACTCAGTGAGCCGGAGATATCTGTCCCTGACCTCGGGGCGTGCAGTGTGTGCTGAGAAATGACCCCACCCCTGGGAGGCTAAATCAGGAAGATCTTGAGTCTGCCCTCAGCCCTCCATGGCTCCCACCGCCCAGGACCAAAGCCCAAATCCTCACTGCAGCCCACAGGGCCCTGCAGGACCGACCGACCACCCCCTCCCCGCCTCCCCTGTCCCTCTCCCCGCCTTGCTCCCTCTGCTCCAGCCAGGCAGACGTCTCACTCTGTGCTGCCCCAGGGCCTTTGCATGGCCATCTCTCTCACCCCCAGCCCGTTTCATAACCGGCTTGTCCTCTTCCACCAGGTTTTGGCTCCAATTTCACCCCCGGACACCACACTGAGGTTGCCCCGCCCGTCACCTGTCCCTTGCCTGTTCCTTCAGACACCCTTGCAAACTTCTGAGCTCCTCTTGCACCCTCCTTTTGGTGACTTCTTTCCTGCCCTTTCCCCTCCAGCGTGATGCAGAGGGTGAATCAAACCAGTTTTCATTCCCACCCAATGCCTGGGCACATAGTAGCTGCTCAGTAAATGCTCGTTACGCCACCACACTCTGGAATCAGATCTTAGAGGTTCTGTTCACCAGGTTTCACTTCAGGGCCACTATGAGAGCCAGGACTGTGACTCAGTCTCAGTCAGGGACAAAAACAGGAAGAATGGCATTGTGCAGCTGCTGTCAGGTGACTCATGCCAGGCCCGCCTTTGGGACATTGGGCAATGGGGCAAAGGGCATTTGATCTCAGAGCTCTAGTCAAAGTTTGATTGCACCTGCCAGGAGCCTCTTCCTTTCCATCTTGGAAATGTTTCCATCTTGAGCACCCATCTAGTCTGGGAGACAGTGGGGGTTGGAATTTACTTCTTGGGGCCTCTGTTTTACCCATCTGAAAAATGGGTACAGATTTACAGTGCTTCCCTTGGGGGACCATTTGGTGCATGGAAATGTGTTATGTGTTGAAGCCTCAAAACCAGATTCCTGCTAGGCATAGTGATGGATGCCTGTAATCCCAGCATTTGGGAGGCTGAGGAAGAAGGATCACCAGGAGTTCAAGGCCACCCTGGGCTACATAGTTCAAGGCCAACCTGAACTACATAGTGAGAGCCTACCTCAAAAAACAAAAAAACAAAACCAAAACCAAAACAAGAAAAGGACTCTCTGAAAAAAAAAAAAAAATTAAAGAGCTGGCCACGGTGGCGCATGCCTGTAACCCCAGCACTCGGGAGGCTGAGGCAGGAGGATCGTTGTGAGTTCGAGGACCGCCTGGGCTAAAAGTGAGCTCAAGCCCAGCCTGAACTGCATAGCGAGACCCTGTCGCAAAAAGACCCAAAAAAAAAAAAAAAAAGGACTTCCTGTAAGACATTTGGCCTTCCAAAAGACTACATCTCCCAGCATGCCTTGCAATAGGAGCCGGCGTCATATGATTTTATTCTGACCAATGCGATAAGATCAGGACAGGCAACTTCCGGCTTCTACCCTTAAAAGGCAACTGCTTGCCGGTTTCTTCTGGTTCCCGTTTTAGGGAGTGGGGGGTTACGTGTTTCTTAGCGCGAAGCAGAACAGAGGACTCTGGCTCTGAAGAATCATTCAATAAATATTTATTTATAATTAAAAATTCCGGGGCCGAGGATGTAGCTCAGCGGCACAGCGCCTGCTTGGCGAGCGCAAGGTCCTGGGTTCGATTTCCGGTATCAAAAAAAAAAAAACCTCCCTCCAGTACCCACCGCCACTAAGACCTCTACCCAGAACTAGGCTGAGTCTGTAAACACCGTGTCCAGGTCTGTCCGCTCCCCTGGCGCTCCGCTGCCCCCGAAGTGCTGGAGCCCGGGGTGGTCACAATGAGCTGCGTCCCGGCCCTTTTGTTTATTTTTTATTTTTGACACAGGGTCTCGCTAAGTTGCCCACTCCGGGTTCAAACTTTCGACCCTCCTGCCTCAGCTACCAGACTGCGGAGATGACGGGTGTGCAGCACCAGGCCTGGCTCCTCCAGGCTTTACACCCTGAGACACAATGGCCCTGCAGCACCAGGTCTTAAAAGTGGCAAATGTGCCCATCTGCCACTGCCCACCGGGAATGTCCTGCCCAAAGCCTTTGCCAGGACGGCGGTGTGGTCCCCAGGGCGTCAGGCCTGGTCACTCCGCCTTTCCGGGTCCTGCGCCTGGTCCTCAGGGGCCGGGACTGCTCTCTGGTTCCACATGCGGTTGCTCCCTCCCACCTGCACCATCTGGGCGTGGTGGATAATGAGGGGGGCCTGAGGGGAGGCGGGGGAGGCAGGCGGGAAGGCGGAGGGCTGCTGGAAGGTGGGCTGGGGACAGGCGGGGGGCTGGGGGAAGGATGGAGGCTGCGGGAAGGCCGGCGAGGGGCTCCCAGTGTGCCCTGGAGGCGGTGCTGGTGGCTCAGGACTTTCTGGCCAGCCTGGGAAGGGTGGCGGGGCTCCCCAAGGCCCCTGGACACTGAAGGGCCCCTGAGGCGGATAAGGCACCTGCGTCCCAAGTGACAAGCGGCTCCCGAAGTCCACCTGGAGCTTGTCCACCTGCGCCTGCCAGCCCAGGTAGCTGCGCAGGTAGGCGGCGTGTGCGGCGTGCAGGGCCTCGGCCTGCCGTCTCTCGCTGTCCAGGCGCTGGCTGCCCCGCAGCCGGGCCCTCGCCTCCTGCTCCCTCTGCCAGTGTGCCCTGCGCTCCCACAGCCTCTGGGGCTTGAAAGTGTTGCCCGCCTTCCTGGCGAAGATCTTGGAGTGCTCGTCCAGCCACACGAGGCCCGAGAGCAGGCGCGAGGTGTCGGAGCCCCGGAGCCCCGGGGTGCTCTCCAGCGGCAGGAAGGGGATGACGCTGTCATAGCGGCCGTGGTGCGTGAAGCTGCTCGTCAGGGCCTGGTTGACCTGGTGCAGGCCCAGGGCGCTGTTGAAGTTGGGGGTCATGAGCAAGATGATGAAGCCTGAGTGGTCGATGGCGTCCTGCAGGCAGCGGAGCTCACCGCGCCCGGGCACCTGGAAGTCCTCGCAGAACGTGGCCCCGTCGGGGACCCCCAGGGCCTCCAGCTTCTCCCGGACACGCAAGGCCACATCTTCGTCCGCCATGGCGTGGAGGACCACGAAGTTATAAAACTTCTGCTCCGAGGCCTCCGACTCCAAGGAAGGAGGGCAGGGCGGGCAGGAGGGGGCTGGCAGCACCGAGGAGCTGGAGGATGGGGAAGGAGCAGGAGGAAGAGGCAGGGAGGTCTCCGGGGCCAAGGATGCTGGCGGGCCAGGGTTAGTCTCCTGTGGTGTGGTGTCTTCCACAGAAATTGGGGGCGTTGTCTGGTCCTTGACAGGGCAAAGACTTTCTGTGGGTTCCGGATGGGGCAAGGAGAGAGATTTGGGGGCTGTGGACTCATCTGAGCACTCCACCGGATAACGGGTGCCAGTCTCCGGAGCGGCGGGGGAGCCTTCGCGGAGGCCCCAAGAGGGCGGGTTGGCGCCCACCTCGGGGACCCGGGAGGTGAGAGCTGCCGGGGACACCGTGATCTCGGCCACAGAGGGCCAGCTCATCTCCTCGGGCTCCTGGCCGCCTGTGGGAACAGGCTCGGGCCCCAGGGGCTGCTCGCAGAGCTTGCTGGGCCCATGGGGGCTGCGGGGCTGGCTGAAGAAGGCCATGGTGGGCGACTGGCTGATCTCCAGGTCGCTGGCCAGTGAGGCCGGGCTGCCGGTGGAGCGCAGGGAGCACCCGTGGCTCCAGGCCTCGATGGGGCAGGCGAGGCTCCAGGACCCCGACAGCGACGCTGACGACGGAGGCAGGGGACCCTCACTGGAGCAGAGCGGCTGGAAGCGCCCCGAGGCCCGGAGGGCGTCCCACCCGAGGCGGGCCCCGGCCTCACGCCGCAGCTCACCCAGCCTCGGGTCCCCGCAGGAGCTGAGGGCCTGGTGGGCCGCCTGGTAGGCTGCGTCCCTCAGGGTGGCCGGGCACAGGTTCTCCTCAGCCAGCAGGTGGTACAGGCGGGCAATGCCCCAGGACACATCCGTGGGGTCCTCGGGGGCCTCGGCACTGTCCATGCCGGCCCACTGGCGGGCCACAAGCCGGGCCACAGCGTCAGCCTTGGAGGCGTCCAGCGAGACCCGGGCCTCAGCGTCCCGGCCCAGCTGCAACAGCACCATGGCGTGGAGGAGGCTGGCGCCACGGTGGCCCTTGTGCACCGTCTGCAGCTTGTGTCGCAGGATGACCAGCTTTTCCCGCCCAGCAGCAGCTAGGAGGTCAAAGGCACCAGGCAGTGACGGGCCCGGACAGGCCATGGGCGTGGGAGGGCACAGCTGTGGGCAGCAGAGGCTAGGGCTGGCCGAGACATGTTCCAGATGGCCGCCTCCTGCACGCCCAGACCCTACGTATCACAGTGTGGAGGTCCGCAGGGCTGACCCAGAGAGACCTGTGGAGACAGGGAGAGCACTGGCTTACCACCAGGGCAGCACTTTGGAGGCTGAGACAGGAGGATCGTCGGGTGTTCGAGGCCAGCATGGGCTACGTAGTGAGTTCAAGGTCAGTCTGAACTACACAGCAAGACCCTGTCTCAAAATAAAAAATAAAAAGGGCTGAGATGTAGCACACTGTGAAGGCCCTGGGTAAAATCCCTGTCCTAAAAAAAAGATTGCTGTCCGCCAAGAAGTCCTGGGGAAATTTATCACACAGCCATCGCTAACCCACACAACAAACATGATCAGTAGGGCGAGTGACCCCTCACCGCGAGCTGCATCTGTGCCTCACCGGGCTGCCTGGCCCCATGGAAAGGGCTTTGGCTTCTCTGTACTTCTCCGGAAAGGCCAAGCTAGGTCCGGCCTTTGCCACACCTTCCAGCTGGTGTGTTCTGTCCCCGGCTTCCCTGGTGACCCTAATCTCTACATTCAAGGTTCGGGTGCAATGACACTGTCTCAGAGGGGAGTCCAAAAGCACTCCAGGTCCTGCCTACCTCTCCCCTGTCACCGCTCTGTCAGCTGTCACCACCACAGACTTCCGTGTGTCTGTGAGGTGCTTGGGATGGACCCCAGGACTCTGGCACATGCCAGGCAGGTGCCCACCACTGACCACATCCCAGACGTGAACTTTTCCCGCATGTGAAATCTTTCACGCTTCCTGCCTGACTCCCAGCACCCTGTGGGTACCTGACTGCGGAGGCCGTGTCCCTCTCACACGGCCGGGAGGCCAGACACAGTGCAGGTAGCTAGCGCAGAGCGGCAGGCGGGTGAGTGGACGAGTGGAGGGACAGACGGCTGCACCCTGAGTGACTGGGTGGTGGACGAGTCAGTGAGCACAGGCGCGTGGCCCTCTGTGCTGTACCTGAGAGGACCGGGGCCCGGACAAAAGGCTTTTCCCAAGGATGCCCACATCCCCACGGGCAGGACCCGGCCCCTGCGGCCCGGTCACCAGGGCCCTGTTCAGCCCATTCCAGGCACCAACTTCTCTCGTCCGCCTCTCAGCCTGGCTGGGCTCAGCCCTGCTGCTTGTCCCTGTCCAGGTGTCCACCATGGGGACAACAGCCTAACCGCTCCCCCCAGCACCCTCACCCAAGCACACTGGCCACATCTGCCCCCACCCCCCGGAGTGACCAGCGCCAGGGGGTTCCCCTGAGTCAAAGCAAAAGACACTCCCCTCCTGAGGAGAACGAAGAGCTCCTTGTCTAATCACAATTTTTTCCCCACTATTGGGGATGGAACCAGGGCCTTCACACTGAGCTCCATCCCAGTCTTTCTTTCTTTCTTTTTTTCTTTTTTTTTTTTTTGTCTTTTTTAAGATAGGGTCTCACTATGCAGTTCAGGCTGGCCTTGACCTCACTCTTGTAGCCCAGGCTAGGCTTGAACTCGCAAGATCCTCCTGCCTCAGCCTCCAGAGTGCTGGGATTACAGACGTGTGCCACCACGCCCGGCACTTCACATATTATTAAAAGATCTTATAACTTAAAAAAAGGAAAAGTTCAGCTGAGTGTGGTGGTGTGCCCCTGTCATGCCAGCATTCTGGGAGGCTGAGGCAGGAAGATCCCAAGTTCAAGCTCAGCCTGGGCAATTTAGCAAGACCTTGTCTCAAGATAAAAAATAATAAGGGCGGAGGATGTGGCTCCACGCAATGCCCAATACTGGGAAAAACGTTCAGATTCCTTCACTCCACTGCCGGCAGCATGGTACAGCGAGGCCGTGTGGACCTCCTCTCCTGCCAGCAGGGAAAAAGGTTTGTGTAACAGTGCCACATTCCTGACTTCCCCGGAAAAGAAAGTGAGCCCCATTCAGGGACAGGAGTGAGGCGGAGAGCCCGAGGGCGGAGGCGCCTGTCCATCACCGGGGGGAAGCGAGTAACAGGCAGAAGCACTCAGCGTTCAAGGCTCCTGGCCCTGCCCGCGGACACCTGGACAGCCGCGGGCTCAAGAAGTACCTCAGTCCCCTTGCGCAGCACGGGATGGAACCAGGGCCTCTGCGCTGAGCTCTGTCCCCAGCCCTCCTTATTCCGAGACAGGTCCCACTAAATGGCCCAGGCTGGGCTTGAGCTTTCGCTCCTCAGGCCTCAGTCTCTCGGGTGCTGAAATCCCGGGCACGCGCCTTTTTTGCCTTCTTTTGTACCCGGGGCTGAGAGGCGGTGTTCCCTTCCCTCCGTGGCCACGCAGTCTGCCGCTGTGCCTCCCGGGCTGTTCTGCGCTGCCACTGGCCTTAGGCCGAGGCAGGCAAAGCCTCCGCCCTCACGCAGCTCGCAGTCCAGTCCTGGGAGAGCAAGAGGAAACGAGAGAGTAACGGCGGATCCTCTCGGGGGTGAGAGCGCACGAAGGAAATGAGCCAGGTCACGTGTTCACACTGGGCTCCAGGACGCAGCCGAGGAGGCTACAGCCCAGCGGCCAGCAAAGCGGGCAGAGGGTGAGGCAGGCGGAGATGGAGACGCGAGGGCGACGAGTTCAGGCGGAGGCGCGGCTGTGCAGGGCAGCGAGGAGCCCGCGCGCCTGGAGCCGAGGTTGGAGCGCGGAGCGCGCGCAGCGCAGGCGGAGGGGGCGCGCGGCCCGGCGGGGCCCTGCGGGACGCGGGAGGACGGGGCTGCGGGGCTGCGGGAGCCGCGGAGGGCTGAGGGCAGAGGCGGGAGGGCCGGGCTCGGTGCTCGCGGCGCCCCCTGGTGGCTGCTGTACGGGGACAGCGCGAGATCAGGAGCAGGGACCAGGGGGAGGGCACTGAGCTTCCTCAGGTAGGCGATGACCGAGGGTCCCTAGGAAGGGTGAGGAGCTGACGGGATAATGTGGAGAGGAAGCCCGGGACCCTCCAGTGGGAGGCGCTGGGCTGGGTCCAGGAGGGAGACACCTCCTCCTCACTCTGCTATTTAAACATACAAGTACCGCCCACCCCAGGACCTTTGCACTTGTCGTGCCCTGGCCTGGCGCAAGTTTTCCCAGAAATCCTTCGCTACCTTGAGCCTCCACTCACCCACCACCTCTGGAGCTGGGTTGATCGCACACACACCCAGCATCCCCGCCCTGCTCTCCTCCCGCCCCTCCCGTCTGGCAGGCAGAATGCCTGGTCTAGGTCCTTGGACAGCCATCCCTGCTGCTGTGGTGAGCGCCTCTCATGGAACCTCTGGGGATAGGGTAGGGAATGGGCACTGCCAAGTCCATGGTTTGTATCTAGAGCTCCAGGCACACAGTGGGTGCCTAATACATGCTGACTGGGTAAATCCAACATGCAGGGCAGTGCCCAACACACAGTAGGTATTTAATAAATACTACATATTAACTGAAGCAATTCACGCAGTAGAACAGTACCTAGTTTCACAGTAAGCACTCAATAACTTCCTGCCTCTAAATCCTCCCTCCTTAACAAAACGGCAATTTTCATCTGCCCCCACCAGCACCAGCACCAGCACATAGTAGGGGTGCAGTCCGCCCTCTCTGGGTAATAAACATATTCCAAGGAGACACAGAGAGCACAAAGTAGCTAGTTGACTGTGACGCTTCAAATCAGTGCGTGAAACGAACTAGGCATGGTGGCGCACATCAGTAATCAAAGCACTGGGGAGGCTGAGGCAGGAGGATCACAGCCAGTTCGAGGCCAGCCCGGTCAACATACTGAGTTCAAAGGCCAGCCTCAAAATAAATCAGAGGGCTGAGGATTTAGCTCAGCAGCACAGTGCCTGCCTGGCAAGTGCAAGGTCCTGAGTTCCATTCCCTGTACCAAAAAAAAAAAAAAAAAAAAAAAAGGGCCAGGATGTAACTCAGTGGTATAAGTGCTTGCATGGCAAGCTCAAGGTCCTAAGTTCAATTCCTGGTACCACAAAAAAAAGAAAAAAAAATCGAATGTTAAGAGACAAAAGGAAGCCTGGTGTGGTGGCACACGCCTGTAATCCCAGCACTTGGGAGGCTGAGGCAGGAGAATCGCCATGAGTTCGAGACCAGACTGGGTTACAAAGTAAGTTCAAGGCCAGCTTGAAGTACATAACAAGACCTTGTCTCAAAAAACAAAAAATAAACAGAAGGGGCATTTTTCAGTATAAAATGACCTATTACATACCAGGCAAATGGTAACCCTATGGCTTATGCCGTATTTTATTTTGTATGATTTCTCTTCTTGTACTGGGGGTTGAACTCGGTGTCTTCACACTGAGCTCCATCCCCAACACTTGTTATATTTTATTTTGAGTGAGGGTCTCACTAATTGATAAATTGCCCAGACTGGGCTTAAACTTGTAATCATCCTGCCTCAGCCTCCCAGAGTGCTGCTACACAAACTGAGATTGCCGCTGCTCCGACTATTTTTCTTGCACTCTGACAGGTGGGAGAGGAGGCTCAGTCAGGCGAGTTTAAACTGGAAAGCCTGGCTCCAGGGCTCCCGTGCAGTTTCACTGAGCACCTACTATGCGGAAGCTCCTGGCAGGTGCAGACAGCCCCTTCCCACATCTGGCCTCATCACCTGCCCCTACCGTGTGCCCAGGTCGGAGCATGTCTGGGGTCACAGCAGGCGCCCCGTCGTGCTGTTCTGCGCTGAACCTGAATGAATGAGCTGTCGCCACCTCTTCCGGACGCTGCGGCCCCACCCTCACCCCAAGGCGGCCCGAGACTGGGGTCCCCTGCCCACCCGGCGGCGCCCCCGCCCCTACCTCGGCCTCAAGGAGGAAAGAAGGGGGCTCTGGGCGAAAGGGGACAGGGCCGGCCGGACCACCGGGACCCCGGGAAAGCTGGGGTCCTCAGGGTGGGCGGGGCCTGGGAAGGGGGGCGCCGAGGCCCAGCACCGGTTCTCAGGAGGACGGGGTGCAGGGCAAATCGCGAGGCTGGAGAGGGACCCGGAGTGTCGCGGACCCAGGTGCCGGAGGGGCGGGGCGGGAGAAAGTCGGGGCACTGGGATCGGGCGCTGCAGGGTCCCGGGCGCTGGGGGTCGGCGTGGGGACGGGGAGCCTGTGGGGAGCACCCGTCCGCCCGGGCCCCGGGTCCCCACCCCGCGCGGTGCCCCCCGCGGTCCGCAGTCACCTACCCGCCAGGGCTGCGTCCTCCGCTCGCCTGCGCGGCCTCGGGGCCCGGGTGGCCCGGAGAAGGAGGAGGAGGCGCCGCCCCTTCCGTGTCAGGGAGAGGAGGCGGGGAGGTCACCGCGGAGACCCGAGGCGGGGAAGTCCCCACGGGGCCCCGAGAACCACGCTGGGCGAGTCTGAGCGCTTTCTGTGGCGGGGACCCAAGGGGCAGTGGAGGGGCGGCCCAGCCGTCGGACTCAGATTCGGCGCAGTCGGGAGCTTTGGGGACCCCGAATGGTGAATTACACGCCCAGAAGAAACTCTGGGGAGACCAGGGGCCAGGGCAGGCAGACCCTTAGACCCCCAGGGCCCGCATGCCTTCGGGGCCTACTGGGATTTATTTTTTTCCAGTACTGAGTTTGAACCGAGGGCTGGGCACTGAGCTCCATTCCTAGCCCATTTTATTTTATTTCCAGACAAGGAAATAAATATGTTGCCCAGGCTGGACTCAAACTTGGGATCCTAGTACTTCAGCCTCCCAAAGAGCGCTGATGAGGAGTGTGCACCACCAGACCAGCTACATTTCCAAGTCTTTCTTTTTTGTGTGTTTTTTGTCTTTTGTTTGGTTGGTTTTTTGTTTGTTTTTCTTCCGGTATCAGGAATCGAACTCATGACCTTGCTCTTGCCAGGCAGGCGCTCTACCGCTGAGCTAAATCCCCAGCCCCTTTTTTTTTTTTTTGTCTTTTTGAGACAAGGTCTCCCCATGCAGTTCAGGCTGGCCTTGAGCTCACTTTGTAGCCCAGGCTGGTCTTTTTTGTTTGTTTGTTTTTCCGTTACCAGGAATCAAACTCAAGACTTTATGCTTGCCAGGCAGGCGCTGTGCCACTGAGCTAAATCCCCAGCCCCTCCAGGCTGGCCTTGAACTCACAAAGATCCTCCTGCCTCAGCCTCCCAAGTGCTGGGATGACAGGCATGCACCACCACACCGGGCCTCAAGTCTTAAAATCAGAGGGAGAGCTGAGCATGGGGGCGCGTGCCTGTCATCCCAGCAGGGAAGCTGAGACAGGAGGATCATTGCCAGTTCCAGTGAGGCCAACATGGGCTACAAAGTGAGTTCAAGGCTACCCTAAACTGCGGAGTGAAATCCTGTCTCAAAAAAGGCAAATAAATAAAATAAAGTCAGAGGAAAAACATGAATAGACCCAGTTTGGATCCCATCTTTGTACAATGGGAATTGTAAAATACGATTTTTAATGTGTGTTTATGGAAAGCACACCTGGCTGAATCAGGACCTTTGACCGGACTCCTTCATCAGATGAGAGAAGCTCAGAGACTATTTGCTGGCCAGGGTATAGTGACACATGCCTGTGGGAGGCTGAGGCAGGCTGACCAAAAATTTGAGCCCAACACTATCCATGGTGGCACACCCTTGTGATCCCAGCACAACGGAGGTTGAAGCAGGATTGCTGAGGGCACCTGGGCTACATAGTTAAATAAAGGCTGAACTACATAGGGAGACCTATCTCAAAAAAACAAACCGAAGCCAGGCGTGGTGGCACACACCTGTAATCCCAGCACTCAGGAGGCTGAGGCAGGAGGATCATTGAGAGTTCAAGGCCAGCCTGAGCTACAAAGTGAGCTCAAGTTCAGCCTGAATTGTATAGCGATACCCTGTCTCAAAAAGAACAAAACAAACAAACAAACAAAAAGAAGCCCAGCATGGTGGCACATGCCTATAATCCCAGCACTGAGGAGGCTGAGGCAGGAGGCTTACTTTGAGTTCAAGGTCAACCTGGGCTACAAAGTGAGCTCAAGGCCAGCCTGAACTGCATAGGGAGACCCCTCTCAAAAAGATACATACACACACAAAAAAAAAAGAAAGAAAGAAAGAAAAAGAAATTTCAAACCAACCTAAGTAATAAAACCACTTCGTGAGACCCTGTCTTAAAATAAAAAATAAAAAGGGCTGGGGGCGTCGCTCAGTGAGAAGGCCCTGTGTTCAATCCCTTTGAGCTGGTTAATTTAGCCAGAGTCTGTCGCAAAAAACAAACAAAAGAGACTATTTGCAGAGGTGATTTTTAAAATGGCCCAATAGGCTTGCCATCGCTGCTACCGCCGGTCTCTGGTGAGGGCCTTGAGCAGCCAGTCTCTGCACCTGGCCCCTTTGGAAGCTGGAAGGCGGACCTGGAAGCAGCTTGGGCCTGGCGGAAGTGGGGGTGGGGGGTGAGGGTGGGTCCATCAGACCAGTCAGTTACAGGCAAACAAGTCCGACAGACACCTGTGTGAGGGTCAAGTGCAAAAGCCTTTGAAGTTGGTCCTGGAAGTGGGAGGGAATGAGGTCCCCAAGCGGTCCACGGGGAGTGTGGAATAGGGCTCAAAAGCATCATAACAAACTCAAGGACAAAACTGGGCGTGGTGGCGCACGCCTGTAATCCCAGCACTCGGGAGGCTGAGCCGGAGGATCGTCGCGAGTTCGAGACCAGCCAGGGCTACAAAGTGAGCTCAAGGCCAGCCTGAACCGCATCGTGAGACCCTGTCTCAAAAAGACCAAAGAAACCAAACCAAAACAAAACAAAAACACAAGGACACAAAGCAGAAAGAGAAGAAAGGAGGGAAGCAGGCGTCTAGGGGAGGACAGGGGAGAAAACGCAGACAAGTCAAAGAGGAGAAAAGAAAGAGAGTGAGAAGGAGGCGGAAAAGAACTTCGG